CCCCCCCTGGAATAGCTATTGGTAGGAATCCGGTAGGATCCATTCTTTCTCATTCCCTGGGCCAAGTGATGGTTCAGTCGCAGGCTTACCATCTGAAAAGAGAGCTAGTGATGTTCGTTACCGACTGCTCCTTTCGACTGGGACGCACTGACGAACTGACTCCTTCAGTTTTGGAAAGTGAAGATTACATAACCGTACTTCCCGTCTGAGGTTCATGGACACCGATTCTGGAACCCTGCTGCCAGTGTTTGCCCAAATGGAAGTCAACAAACAGCAGTTGGTCTCAACCCTAAGGATCCGCACCCGAAACAAAACAAGGGTTTGGTTCGGGGCCCCAGCCACCCTTGTGAGCTAGAGGGTTCGACCCCGACCGCCATGGAGGGTCCGGACGACCGGATCCTTAGGGTTTACACAACAAACGTCGGCTCATGCTGTCATGCCGTCAGGGCACATCGGATTGGTCATGCCTCTGGATGCCCACAAAGTCGCCAACCTCTCACCGTTCGAACGGTATTGTTGGGAGCTCTCCAACTAACGCATTTTAGGCTATTTGAGGTGTAGGACCCTAGGATGGTGCGGAAACAAAACCTAGGATGGTGTAGGTCTGTAGGTCTGCTCTTTCCAGTCACGTGGAGGGCGTGATGCGGAGCTCGGCTCGTCCCAATCTGTGGATGTGACGTGATCGTACCGAACCTCAGAAGCTACAACTGGACCCTCCTGGCACCTACATACCAGAAGGTACGACTGGATCCCTAGGGAAATACACTCCAAGTTCGGCCTTGTGACTCTTGGTAGTTTTCAGAAAACAGCCTGAGGGTCACAAAACGGCCCAGTTTGGCCTTGTGCCAGCACGAAAGCGGATCGTTTTTATGACTTGGCCTTGGCCTCAAAGCCCCTCCCTCATGCTGGTTGATCAATCTTGCAAGCTGGTGGGTGGTTTCAACTCACAAACAACAAATCTTAGTCAGTGGGTTCAAGGTCAATATCTGGTTCAATCATCCCAAGTAAAGACCAACAAAGGTTAAGTGACCTTCTAGGACCCTGCAGGGGTACCTATAATAGGATAGTCTATAGGCTTCTTCAACCTCTGCTGGGATTCACAATAAAAATATAGGACACCCACACCGATTTGGGGCGCACTTGCGCTTGGAATAGCAACGAAATGCTTCAGCAGCTTGAGCAGAACTGCAAGCCATCACTGCCTACCGAACCATGAACCCACTTCGGCACTGTTTCAATGTGAGCTCCTGAGGCGTGAGTCACATGCGTGCGCCTGCGGCTCGCAGCTCCCAGCAGCTCCTTTTCTTCATCGATATCCACTCTTCGCGGCATCGGCGCGTGTCGTCAACTCATTATATGGACCATCGCCTCCATGTTCCGCTCCTCCCCACGAGATCACCTGACCATCGGATCGCAAGGCAGCAAAGGCCTTGTCAGTGGCCTGAAGGGCAACCACACCTTGGAAAGCTGGGTAAAAATAAAGCATCTCTGTTCCCCAATCCACCAAGCAAATGAAGCGCGAATCAACCGGCCAAACGAACAAAAACAATAACCCTAAGAATCAAGGACCCGACCCGTTCGCTGAAGGTTTGGTTCGGGTCCAAAGGCCCCCTGCGGAACCTGCAGGGTCGAGTCCAAACGGCTCCAATGATTCTTAGGGTCAATAACCCCTAGGGCTCCAACCATATCCTCAGGTGGTTGGAGCCCTAGGGAACAACCAACACCTTTCGCCCCCAGGTCCCTTAGCTTCGCTCTCCGCCCTTTCATGGCAGGACACTGTGCAATTGATCCTTCACCGCTGAGCAGTCGCCCCCGGCGGCCTTGGGACCAAAGGCCATCACGGTGCCGTCCGTCATGATCGCCGCGAAGGCGCTACAGGAGGCCTGTAAGACCTGCACCTTCTTGGAGCCCAAGTCTGGGACGAGCACACCGTTCTCATACCTGGTACGAGCGAAAAAAACCGCCTAAGCTGGATGAAAGGCCAGAGTCGGGGGCCTGGGCGGGCCCCATAATATACCAGAAATGATTCAACGCATGAAATCAAATGGGGCAACATATGGAATTCATATTATAAATAGTATACTACATAGACCAGAATCTTCCAACTATTCAGAACGCCCACATGTCAATCCATCAAAATATAGCCAGAATGCAAACATCTTTGGAAGATCCAAGGTGTACTTCCAGGTGTCTGCTGTCTTATACGCACGTAAACACGTATTTGTTCAAATACCGCCGTTAAAAAAGGATTCACCATGGGTTCACCATTATTTACCAAAAGGGAGAACGTGAAATAGAAATAGTAATAGTAATGTAAAGTGACCGACTAAGTATTTCAGCCCAGGATACACATCATTCCTCCCCCAAATGACGAGGTTTCCATCCTCCTGGATGCCTGCAAAGGCATCCAAGTTGGCAGAGATTTCCGTGAAGGGTCCCTTGAAGTATTTCCGCGGAATCGGCTTCCAAATCTCATTCAGGGACTCATGAGCCGGCCAGCCCCATGTGACAATGGAGCCATCTGCCTTGATGGCACACCAGCCGTGCTGGTTGGCTTGAACCCGTCGGAGACGCGACAGATTCTTGGGTGGCAAAGGTTTGAAACTGCTCGGTGGGTCCTCCTCCGCTTCCTCCTCCTCGTCGGGTGAGGTGATGAAGAGTTGACTCCTAGGAGCTGTTCGGAAGCATCGGAACGTCCGGGGTTCGGAAGTCACCCACGCGGACCGGGCTCCAGTCATACCTCCGAAAGGGTATCTGGACCCTGGCACTAAACACCGAACCGAAACGAAGGTACGACTGGAGCCCACCCGAGCGAGTTCGGGAACAAACCATTTTCACCACCCCTCCACGGCCCTGGAATCATGATAGTGGCATGACCTCGATTTCGGATGACATCCTCATAGCCAGGTGGTGCCATCCACCTGAATGATGCTTTCAGGGAACTCCACCAAAACGGAGCCTTACAGGCCAGCCTACAAGCGCCACCAAGTGTTGTTGCGCCCCTGAACTCTTGCGCCCAAGTATGGGAGAGCTGGTATAGAAATTCATGCAAGAATATGTACCAGCACCGAAACCAACAGGTCTCTGAAATGGAGGATTGTTAGGCCCTAAACAGCTTTCAATCGACCTGTGAAGTCGGTGGCTGGTACCAGCAGCGCTTCAGCGTGAGCGGTGCTTTCCCGGCCTTTTACGGCTCAAACGCAGCCAGGGCGCTCTTTCCACATGGCCAAACAGCCACCTTCCACCAGGGCTATCAACTGCTCGGCTCCGGTCTTGGTCTTCTCCGCACCGAAGAGTGTGGCCACATGGCCCACGGGCTTGGAGTAGTATGGCGATCCCACCCACCAATGCCTAGCGGCAGTTTGTTCGGGTCCAGGGTCGCCTCTGGGAGGCTTAGAACCCCACCTTCCCTAGGCCTTCCTTCGTTTCGAAGGTGGGACTGGGGGCCCGGTGCCAGGAGGGTCGAAGACCACCGAAACTGTTTCTCATGACCATGTCAGGAAATGACCATGTCGCGGTGCCAGGAGCCCCGTAGCGATGGCGATGCCCGAAATGCTCCGTTCCTAGTAGTACACGAACATAGGGAACATCAACATCATTCAACATCACCTATTACCCCATGGATCCACCGCCACCATTAGAAGGGGGTGATGTGTTCGACACTTGTATGTAGCTTTGGACGGTCCAGTCGTATCTTCGAAATGGCAGTGGATCGCAAGGGTAAGGAAGCAACCCCGACCTATAGTGTGTTCAGAAGAAATTGCACAAACCTAAAGATCTCTTTTATATGGGGGTCCCACACCAAAAGAACAACAACACCTAACTTGGGGGCCCAAACGTGCCATCGAACTCACCTCTGACTTCAGCACCAGGATGCTGTTTCCCCCAGGCGACGGCCGTGTGGTCCTTCATCAGGGCACAGAAGCCACAACCGGCCGGTGCGATCGCTTCCACGTTCTGAAGGTGAATGTAGGGCGGCAGTACTCCGCCAAAATCCTGGGACTATTAAAAGAAAACAAACAACAACAACATCACACATCACACCACATAACTCTTCACCATATCCCAATAAAACATGTGAAAGCAGCAACAACAACAACAGGCAAACTGGATGCCCTGGGATATATATATATAATTATATAATATATATATATTACATATTATTATATGTATAGCTGAGTTGTATTTAAGATAGATCAAAAGGACGTATAACCACTTTTCCTCAATACTTACCTGTATTTACCATATATTTCAATAGTTCATACGTTACCATTTCTCACCCAGGTCCGTCCCCATCCTTCTCTGGAAACCACTTCTGCAGTGCAATAGTGTGTAGTCAGTGCCGGAGTTGTCTTTTAAGAAAACTGCAAGGGTGAACATTGTTAGTATAATTGAGTGCTGCATGTCCCTAGCTTCTGAACTCCGAAGCTCTAGGAATAACGTCAAAAATTATAGACTCATCCTGGCCTGCTTTTGAGCCAGTTGAACAGTTGATATTGGATGCATGTTGGTTTGAAGCTTGACTCACAAACCCCCATGAGTTGCGTCTCAATATGCTTCATTCATGCACCAGCCATCACAAGAGAGCGAAAAGTTGAAAGTCGACAAGTACTCAATCATCCATCCACTCTTTTATTTGAAACCAGGCTTCTGCTAGACTTGGAATGGATTGGACTGGAAGGGTGAAATCCAAGCTCAACATGTGCTTTCCCCAAATTTTGCAAATGTGAGCTCCTTTGAATTCATGCTGCGGGACCGAGTTACAAATTTTTGCTCAGTGCGAGCCCTTAGATCACTCGCTATCGGTAGTAAGTTGGCGAGTTTGGCCAGCATGAGACCCTTAGATCACTCGCTACCAGTAGCGACTTGGGGAATTTGCCCTTAGATCACTCGCTACCGGTAGTGATTTGGTGCTACCGGTAGTGATTTGGTGAATTTACCTACTGAGCCCCTTAGATCACTCGCTACCGGTAGTGATTTGGAGAATTTACCGAGAATGAGGCCCTTAGATCACTCGCTACCGGTGGTGATTTGGTGAATTTACCCAGAATGAGCCCCTTAGATCACTCGCTACCGGTAGTGATTTGGGGAATTTACCTAGTGAGCCCCTTAGATCACTCGCTACCGGTAGTGATTTGGATTTTTGCCCAGAATGAGCCCCTTAGATCACTCGCTACCGGTAGTGATTTGGCGAATTTACCTAGTGAGCCCCTTAGATCGCTCGCTACCGGTAGTGATTTGGTGAATTTACCCAGAATGAGCCCCTTAGATCACTCGCTACCGGTAGTGATTTGGGGAATTTACCTAGTGAGCCCCTGAGATCACTTGCTACCGCGAATGGTTTGGGGAATTTGAAGAGAATGAGCCCCTTAGATCACTCGCTACAGGTAGTGATTTGGGGAATTTACCTAGTGAGCCCCTTAGATCACTCGCTACCGGTAGTGACTTGGTATTTTTGCCCAGAATGAGCCCCTTAGATCACTCGCTAGCGGTAG